TTATGGGGATGGCAAATATTCATTCAATTCGGAGGAGTTTTCAGTCTCTGCGATTGCTGTGCACACAGATGCCAGATCCGGGAAAGTAAGACCTTGGCTTTGGCTTTAAGTTTGCACTGATTTTTTTTTTTAATGAGTTTGAAAGTGTCTTTCTATTTTTTGGTGAATTTCAGTTTAACTTTCAGAGTCCCTGGTTATTCTTACTCCTGTGTTAGGAGCATGCAGCACAAAGGAGGAGCTGGAAGAAAAATCTAGCACTTTGAAAGGTTTAAAATGTGCAGCAAAGAACAGATCTCAGCCCTCAGAATGGAAGCATTGCCGTCTTATTTTTCCTGGGCCCTCTTCCTTTTCTTCCACATGTTTTTGACTCAGAGTAACTTAATTCTTTGTTTTCTGACATACTGTAGTGACACTTAACTTGCTATGAACTGGAATGTTTTACTGTGAAGAGTAAAAATTTATTCATTATGTTCTGAAAAGGGTTAAAAATTCTTTAAACTTGCCAGTAGGTCAGTTCCTTTTACATTTGCTTCTAATTTCTAAACTACCATCTTACTTACTAAGAACATTACCATGATTTTTATTGCTTATTAAAAATGAATGGCTGGCATTTGCTGTGAGGAAGGTGAAATAACACTCCTCCCCCCAAGGGAACTGTTTGAATACAAGATAAATTAGGAGGAATGCTCTGTAAAACAAATATGGACAGATAAATATTTCGAATCCCCTGTTTTACTGTTTCAGGAAGCCAGAAATGTGCCAGAGAAGACAGAATTTTCTCTGTTCTGGTGTTTGTGCTAGGTCCCATAGCTGTTTCCCTGGGTTCTGTTCAATAGATCTCATGATTGCATCAATTTTGCAGCATTGTTTGATTTATTAAATCAAATGACTGCCTGAACCAGTTGTACTAACTCCTGGTAGCAAATGATTAAATTCATCACAGTTGCAATCAGCCCAGAGGGTGAAGCAGTTGTCCTTGGGGAAAAGCCTGACCGAAGAAATGAGATCGCTGCCCTGCTTTGGGGATTAGCAACTTGCATCTGCTATACATATTCAGAACCTAGCTAGTAGTACTCTTCCCTAAAGGAAGGGGAGGGCATAGAAAGAGCCTGGTTGAGGATTCAGGAGATCTGCCACTAATTGACTGTGTGACTTAGGCCAGTGGCTTAATTCCTGTGGTTATCAGTTTTTCCTGTCTATAAAATAAAAGGGATAGAGTCAGTACTACCTGATCTCTAATACCTTCCATAAGTTAAAATTCTTTCTTAAAAAGCTGTTTTTTAAACTCTGAGTCAAGAAGATGTAATTAGCCCTTGCTTGGTCCAAATGAATGTCAGGGAGGAGGAGGGAGGTTGTAAAGGAAGAAGGAAATGCTTTGTATGTCTTTGGCAGCAAATCATAATGCAGTACTGAAGCTTCCCTTGTGGATAAAAAGAAGCTATGGCAGAGGCGGGACCAGCTTATAAGCGAGCCTCCTGACACTTGTTTGCGGCCATAGAGGGCTACGGCATGCTTAGGTTGCTACCTCAGCTTTTGAAAATAGGACAAGGGAGCCTGGGGTCTCAGCACACCTCCTCCATTGGCAGATTTTGGAGTGCAGCTTCTGTGTTAGGCATGGACGGATGACACCAAGTGGTATGTAAGAATGATTCAGTCAGGTTCAAGAGAACCAGGTTCTCATTTACTGTTTCTCCAGGGGCCAGGAGATAAATTAGTATTTGTTCTCCTAAGCCTCATCTTTTATTTTTTTTCAAGACTGTGTGAGGAATGAGAATAAATAATCAATCCACCAGCAAAAAGTTTCTCAGGTATTTAGTAGGACATAGAAGGTCTTGAGATAGAATTTTTATCCACGGTTTAAAAAGTAGGAACCTTCAGTGTGTGCTAGGCACTGCACAAGGAGGGTATAGCTGTGCCTGAGACACAGTGTCTGCCCACTGAGGAGTCAGAGTCTGGTTGGTATAACAAGCAAATCCATGTGAAGCCACTGCTTATGCAGTACATTCTGGTGTTTGTTTGCCTGGAAAGACCATCTCTTTGGACTATTCCAAATTCCCCAGGGTTTAATAAGCCTTTATAGGCTAGTCTTGGCAAAAGCCTTCTCATAGTCCCCTGACAGAAGTATTTATTCTCTCCTCAAACTCAGAGTTTGAAGGACTAGACTGTGGTCTTAACTACAAATCTGATCACATTTTGGAGAAATTGGAGCTTTTTGGGGGGGTTGGGGAGTAGAATTCATGACAGGGCACAAGAAATAAAATGTCAACACAGTTAAAAAACCATTTGTGATCAGCTTGTGATTATTCCCAAGGGGCCATTCTTGGGATCTGATACTTCCTGAAGGCCTTTCAAAAGGTTTTTAGATCCCTGCTGAATCTAGTCTGTACTAAGCCCAGCAGCTGTGTAGCCACAGGCGTATTAATTTGTGTGAGTCTAAATCATAAGTTTGGGCCCATCCAGTTTTAATCCATAGACATTCAAGACTTGATCAGTGGTGGGTGTTGGGGTGTGGGTAGTAAGCGATGTTGTCTGCACTGTTGTTGGATGTGGCATCTAGCTTGTATCTTATTACAGACATACTTACATTTGAGTTTTCTTTACCTTTTTTTTTTTTTTTTTTTTTTGAGGACTTGCTGGGCAGAGTTGCTGATCATTAAATATAAATATTTTCTCTTTTCCATCTCAGAGTGGCTGTGTCTTTTGTTTTTTTGTTGTTTTTTGGAGAAGATTCCAGGAAGAGCTACTTTTCTTATACTGGGTAGATATACCTATTATGGACTAAAGAATATTAAATATTAATTCTCTCTGGGAAATTAGCTATAACATTTTTGGAACAGAAGGTGGCCCTGTTAATTACTGTCCTATTTCTAAGGCTCTCCTCTATTGCATGGTAGGGCTTGGGTCTCATCCTTGTACATGCTTTGTAAACACAGAGATTTTCTGTTTGTTTTGGCAGTGTTTTATTTGGAAGGAAAAGTCTTTGGGAATTGCTTTTGAATATGACTGCTATTTGGCATGACCCAGTATATCATAAAAATCAGCATTTCCTATCCCCTTCTGTTTTATTTTTGTAGTTGGCTCTCAGCTCTTGAAAGTACAAAATGGCTCCATCACCTGTCTGTGCTTCTGAAGTCAGCACTTCTGGTAGTGCATGCTGTGGATCGTGATCAACGACCAGTGCTAGCGCACTGCTCGGATGGCTGGGACCGCACCCCCCAGATTGTGGCATTGGCTAAGCTCTTGCTGGACCCTTATTACCGAACCATAGAGGTAGGATTTGACACTTCAGGATGAGTGGGGGAAACCTTGGAGGGTTTTATGATCAGTTTTGATTGAGGTGGCTAGGTCCAGTGAAAGTGAAATTTCTGTAGTTTTGAATCATTACTCCTTTATCTTGAGCTAAATTGTTGTGGTACGTACCACAGTGCTTGTGCCTCTTAAAAGGGGGTAGATTGTGAATAACCAGGTATTGAGAATACAGACATGTTTTCCTTTGCAGAGTATCTACTTGGATACCCCAGGAAAGTGGGGCTTCTATAGAAGGATCTTGACATGCTTATTATGGTAATGGGTCTGTATATCACCACAATATTCTGTGGAGAAAGAACCCTATTGTGAAATAATCACCTATTGGGTTAAAGATATAAGAAAAACCATAAAGGTACCCTAAAATATATGTAAATCTGGGATGGGGAAAGATTTTACAAACATGACTTTGTAAGCATACCATGAAAGAAATAAAAAAGAAATTAAGGGGGGAAAAAGTATGACTTTTTTATAGTGAATGAAGGGCTAAAAATATAAATAGTCTCAACGAAGACTTAGATAAATGCTTAGTTACCACCCTTTTGATGATTATGGAATGGAGTTGAGGGAATCGGGACACTGCCCTAAGCCTGTGTCCCATCCTTTGGCCGTGGGGCTGGGTTAGGGGCTCCTGGTGGGCTTAGTGGGAAGGTGTTAAAAGGGATCACTGTTGGTGACATTAGGCTCAGAACAGTTATAGTTTGGATAGACAAGCACAAATGGGTCTCTCCTGGGTGCTTCCCCGCAGGGTTTCCAGGTCCTCGTGGAGATGGAGTGGCTGGATTTTGGCCACAAGTTTGCTGACCGGTGTGGTCATGGGGAGAACTCGGATGATCTGAACGAGCGTTGCCCAGTGTTTTTACAGTGGCTGGACTGTGTTCATCAGCTTCAGAGGCAATTTCCGTGCTCTTTTGAGTTCAATGAAGCATTCCTTGTGAGTTTGGGCTTGTGATTCTTCGTTTTGGGGACCTTCTAAATTCATAGGGGTATCAATGCAAATGTTAGTGGGCCAGTTTTCACATGAAACTGCATCCTTTCTAGAATTTGAGGGGTCATTCTTCCATTTTTAATTAAAAACAATAGTAATAAACAGGTGTTTGTTTATTTAGTGAATCCATGTGTACTAAGTTTACATAAACTTTGAGTTCTTCTAAACAACTTTTAAAATGGATGATAAAAGCACTAAACAGTAGTTAGAAATAGAAGCAATAGATTTTCATCTGCTCCCTCCAGTCCATCTACCAACCCCCCGTGTCTGTTCCACACTCTCTGCTCCCTGTCCTTTGAAGGAGGATGTACTATCCTTGCCCTCTTCCAGCCCCTCCTCCACTTGTGCACCAGCTTCCATCCCCCTCCTTTGCTCAGCTTCATTGCTTCAGCATTTCTCCTCCCTGCCCTGTGCATCAGCCTATTTTCCTTTTTACCAGATCACTGCCATCAGCATACAAGCATGGTATAGTGCCTCCTATTTCATCAAAACCGTTTCTGGGTACTGCATCCCCCTCTAGCTATCACCTCCGTTTTCATATCTCATTTCTTCACAGCAGAGCTCCTCAAGTCTTGACATTTACTCTCTCAAACGCTTCTCCTCCCATTCTCTTTTAAACCTGGTCCAGTCAGGTGTTCACTCCACCACTTTACCAGAGCTGCTCTTGTTAAGGTCACCAGTGACCTTCACATTTCTAATCCAGTGATCAGTTTTCAATCACCCTTTATTTAAATTGCAGTATAAGTGATAGATAACATTATATTAGTTTCAGGTATACAACAGTGATTTGATATTTGTATATATTGCTAAAAGATTACCACAAAATTCTGGTTAACATCTGTTACCATACATAGTTATGAAGTTTTTTTCTTGTGATGAGAACTTTTAAGATGTCCTCTCCTGGCAACTTTCAAATATACAGTACAGTATTCCTAACTTACAGTCACCCTGCTGTACATCACATCCCACGATTTACTTATTTTATAACTGGAAGTTTGTACCTTTTGACTGCCTTCATCTTCTTTGATCCATCATTAAAATTTGGCACAATTTAATCACTCCTTTCTTGAAACACTTTCTTCAGATGACTTCCAGCACAGTCTTAGTTCTCCGCTTCACCAACTGGTCCTTTCTGTCTCCTTTGCTGGTTCCTCCTTCCCTCCCCACTCGTGAATGCTGGGAGTGCCCCAGGGCTCAGCCTCCTTCTCTAGGGATTTCATCCAGTTTGTTGGCTTTTATTGCTCTCTGTGATTCCTACATGTATACGTCTTCAGCTCAGATCTCTCTCTCCACTTAACTCCAGGCTCTCATCCACTTGTGACTACTCAGTATCTCCACTTGGATGTCTTAATGGTATTTCAAACTTAACTCATTCAGAACTCAGTTCTTGATTTCCATATGTCTCCACCCCAAAACTTATCTTCCAGAAGTCTTCCATCTCACCAAATGGCAACTCACACCTTCGATTCATTTAGGGCAAAAATTTTATGTCATCCTCAACTCTCCTTTCTTTCATATTCCATATTCAGTCTGTCAGCAGATTCTGCAGCTCTGCTTTAAAAATATATCTAAAACCTGATAACTTATTGCTACCTGTGCTGTTCCCAACACTAGTCTAAGCCACCACATCTCCTGCCCCAATTCCCGAGTCAGTCTAGCAGCCTGAGGAATCCTTCTAAAACATGATACAGGCCGTATCATTCCTCTGTCAAGAAACCTCCAATGACTCTGCTTTTGACACAGGATAAGTCACAGTCCTTAAAATGGCCTGCAAGGCCCTCCTGCAAGGCCTCCAAGGCTCTCTCCACAGTCCTTAAAATGGCCTGCAAGCCTGTCCAGGCTCATTTCCTCCCATCCTCCACCTCATGCAATGTCTGCCCATCCTCCACCTCATGCAATGTCTGTCAGTTCCTCAGAAGTTGCAATCCTGTGCTCACCTCAAGGCCATTGTGCCTGGAGCAGCCTCCTCTCCCACCCCCGGCTGGTATGATCTGCTCTCTCATTTCCATCAGGTCTCTAGAGGTCAGTGAGCCTTCTTACGCTGCCCTGCATGTGCTCTGGCCGCCACTCTTACCCTGCCTTATTGTTGTCCATAGCACTGGTCACCCCTACCCCCACAGCCAGAGCGAGCTCTACCAGGGCAGGAGAGCCGTCTTCTCACTGTTGCCTGTCCAGCACCCACAGAAACATTTGGGGTATGTGAGATGCTCAATAGCAACTTGCTGAATGAAAAGCTGTTTAGAAGTTCAGACTTGGGTTGCACACTGACCTGCTCCTATGCCCAGTTTATATGGGTAGCTGTTAACTGGGGACCTTGGAGACTGTTTACAAGGGAGGCCAAGAGGATGGGGGTGCCAACACCCTGTCTTTGCCGTTTTGACTCAGGAGTGATGGTGGCTGGGGTTATGAGGAGTCTGCGATTGGGTGGCTTACTTGGGTCCCCCATCCTTACCAAGCGTGAACTGAAGTGCACATCAGGGGTGTCGGGGAAGGTGGCTTAGCTGGGCTGACCTTCCCCCAGAAAATGCGTACCCATTGTTTGATTTTGCCTCATATTGGACTCCCATAGGTGAAACTGGTGCAGCATACCTATTCCTGCCTGTTTGGAACATTCCTGTGCAACAACGCCAAGGAGAGAGGGGAAAAACATACTCAGGAACGGACGTGTTCTGTGTGGTCGCTGCTTCGGGCGGGCAACAAGGCTTTCAAAAACCTACTGTATTCCTCTCAGTCAGAAGCCGTATGTATTCTTTAGTCTTTTCTCCCTCATCAGCAGAATGAATTTGGGGATGGGGACATATGGGATCTTTTTTGAGAAGTGACTGTTTTCTCGAAGGCATCTCAGTTGTCTCTGGATGGAGTAGTTCCATTTTTTCCCAACTACTTTGTCCTGAGAAAGGCCTGTTTTCTGGCTATTCTGCCCTGCTTCTGACTGCTCTTTGTTCAGGGTGGTTTGATTTAGCAAACATCTCTACTTTGCCACTCTAGACATGAATCTTTTCTGGCACCTCCGCCAGAGCTTATTTCTAGCATGTTCTGTCTAACAGGTGGAGGAGGCACTTAAGTTGTTCCCTGGATGCCCCTGATAGCTCAGAAGGAGCTGCAGGCCCCCAGCACCCTTCCAGTGTCAACAGGCAATGATACCCATTACAGCATCTGTCTCAGCAGAAAACTGTTTGTGACACTAGCAGTGTGTCTGTGTGATCCTCTATACTCACATGGAGAACTGGCAGGCCCTTTAAGACTTCGTTCCTCAAAGGAACACTTTCTGTTAAGCAGAGAAAAGGAGGCACTTATATCTGTGCATCGGTACACAGTAATGTACACAGTAATGTTCCTTTTAATGCATCTTAAATTCTAAAGTCACAAGGAAGCTAATCAGAGGTTATATTGATTTGCTGGACTATTAATTAATAAACCTCTTACTACAGTTAAGTAGTCCAAGGAAAGATTGAAGCTAACTGCTTCTCTCTCTCCTGTGACTGCTGGGGAAGTAACAGTACAGAAGAAAATTTCCTCCTTTTCACTTCATTAATTTAGATGATCCTATAAAACAGGTTTGACAATGTGTTCTGAAGCCAAGCTTTTGTACTAGGGAACTATCAACCATCTAGAATGACTCATTTTCTTGTGTGGTAAAAGCAACAAATTAGGTTGAGAAAAGCCAGTCATTCAATAAAGGTGACCTAAGAAACAACTAATGAGAAGTGGATTTAAAGAATTTTTTTTAGATTTTCATTCCCACAGAGGCTGTCAGGTGAAAAATGTCCCGTCTACCCACCACCCGCCGTGATAGAGCTGCATCCACTCATGCTAATGCCCCTTGGAGATTGTGCAGGACTGCTGGGCGTTCCTGCTTGGTGCTTGCTTCTTCACCCTCATTTCTAGACATTTCTAACAGACTTGTTGGAAGTTGTTTAAACCTGTGTCCACCGCTCTCTCTTCAGGTGCTGTACCCTGTGTGCCACGTGCGTAACCTGATGCTGTGGAGTGCAGTGTACCTGCCCTGCCCATCCCCGTCCACCCCTGTGGACGACAGCTGTGCACCATACCCAGCCCCTGGCACCAGCCCTGATGATCCACCTCTGAGTCGGTGAGCCTGGGGCTGATGCCAAGACTGCAGGTCCTTTGTGGGTGTACTCCTGTGTTGGGATGCATCCAGGGATGGTTGGAGATCATGACATTATTTGGTTCCACACATGTTTCTTAGATCTCTGAGGAGCAGTTTCTCAGTGATGGAGCATATCCTCTGGGTTCCTTGTGACCCTCTGGCTGGAGTTTCAGCCACTGCTCTGTGCTCCTGCCTCCCTGCTGTGACTTGCTGTCCTGGGCTTGAAAGGCAGATGCCATCAGATGATAGACAGTCTGGCTTTGAGATCTATGAATTAGCTTTATTGAATTCAGACTGATGAATAATAATTTAAAATATTGTAATATCAGAAGATCAGCAGTGCTACTTTCCTCTGCCACTAATTGAGAAACATAGCAGTATCATGAAGAATATCTTTTTAAAATAGCGTTTGCTATTAGCTTATTTGTATGTGTTGGGCATGGGGTAGGGATGGTGCCAGAGGAATAGAAGTACTCGTCCTGGAGCTCTGCCTTTCTGCAGTCTGAGCCTTAGTCCAGATGCGCCATGGCTCCTTGAGTAGCCGTAATGGAGCCATTTATGAAATGACTGCCTGTTAAAACCTGTTGTCTCCTACTTCCCTGTGAACAACCTCATATTCTCATTTCCCCCAAACTCCTTCCTTTAGGCTACCAAAGACTAGATCATTTGACAATCTGACCACCGCCTGCGAGAACACAGTGCCTCTAGCCAGCCGGCGCAGCAGTGACCCAAGCCTGAATGAGAAGTGGCAGGAGCACCGTCGTTCGCTGGAACTGAGCACTCTGGCTGGTCCTGGAGAGGAGCTTCTGGATCCTGACAGCCTGGGGAAGCCAGCCAAAGTGCTGGGTGGCGCCGAGCTGTCTGTTGCAGCTGGAGTAGCTGAGGGGCAGATGGAGAATATCCTGCAAGAGGCCACCAAAGAGGAGAGTGGGGTAGAGGAGCCTGCCCACAGGGAGATGCAGGAGGTCAAAGAGGAGGCTCTTTTAGAAGAGGGGAGGAGAGGGAAGACCCCTGAGTGCCCAGCCATTGTGCTTCATCAAGAGCCAGAACTGGGTGATGCTGCTCTAAGGAGCCACCATCCAGGCACCAGCCTTCTTGTGCTCTCACAGGGTATTCCTGAGCAGCAGGGTGGGCACAGTATTCTCCCCAGTTCTCTCCAGGAGCCCCCCCAGGGAGAGGATGCCCAGGAGGTCCCTGTGGAACAGTCTCGAATAGGAGCTATCACACAGGACAGGGAGGAGGCAGTCCTTCCAATCTCAGTAGATGTGAAAGTTGGCTTTGGTACCTCACAGTCAAGTTCTCTGCCCTCCCAAGTTTCATTTGAGACCAGAGGACCAAATGCAGATAGTTCCATGGACATGTTAGTGGAAGATAAAGTGAGGTCAGAAAGTGGTCCCCAAGGCCATGATAGACCTTGCTTACCTGCCAGGGTAAGCAGTGGCAGGTTCAGTGGCAAGGAGGAGCTTCCTCAAGCCATGGAGCCCAGGCCTTCAGAGAGGAGCCTGGCTGAGAGGCCCCAAGTGGGATCTCTGGTGTATAGGACTTCCCCCAGCAGCACCCAGAGCCCAGCGCATTCTCCTTGTGCCTTGCCTTTAGCTGAATGTAAAGAGGGGCTTGTGTGCAATGGTGCTCCAGAGACTGAAAATAAGGCCTCAGAGCAGCTCCCAGGGCATAGTACCCTCCAGAAGTACCCTACCCCCAATGGGCACTGTGCCAATGGGGAGACTGGTAGGAGCAAGGACTCACTGAGCCGCCAGCTGTCTGCCACAAGCTGCAGCTCTGCCCACTTACACTCGAGGAACTTGCATCACAAGTGGCTGCACAGCCACTCGGGGAGGGCGTCTGCAACTGGCAGCCCTGACCAGCCTTCCCGCAGCCACCTGGACGATGACGGCATGCCTCTGTACACGGACACTATCCAACAGCGCCTGCGTCAGATTGAGTCGGGCCACCAGCAGGAAGTGGAGACCTTGAAGAAACAAGTCCAGGAGCTGAGGAGTCGCCTGGAGAGCCAGTACCTGACCAGCTCCCTACGCTTCAATGGGGACTTTGGGGATGAAGTGGTAAGTACACTATGGTGCCTCCATAGCTGCACAAGGAGACAGGGCACACTGAGCCGGGGCGCCCTTTGTACAGATTTCTGAAAGAACTGGAAAGTTCCAGAATTGAGAGAGGCTGGAGATCAGCCTCAGCCAGGTGATTGGCAGTGTTCTTCTTTTTCTTTCCTGTCTTGCTTACTTTCCACAGGTATCCTGTCTAGACAGAATTAGGAAGAGAGTTAGCACTCACTATGTGGTTGGTCAGTTCTCTTCGGAGAGAGGATCATGCCTTGAGAAAAGCGTGAACTCCTGGGCAGAATAATATTTGTAGGGCAATGTCAAATGTTCCTGTGAAATCATAGTGCCTGTCCTACCCCAGTAGCTAGTGAACAATTAGCTGCTGTACCCCACCCCCCCAACCCCCAAACATAACATGGGCTGTAGCTGTGAAGGTTTAGTTCTTTTTAAACAGGTATTTGTACCTACCTTGTGGCAGGTGATGGCAGTAGAAATGGGGAGAGGTATCACTGTTGGGAGTTAGCACTGATGGAGCCTGGTGACCGGAGTGGTGGTACCTGAGGGGAGGTTCTCAAGGAGGCAGTCTCGACATGATTAAGGACAAGTGTGAGTCTGGCTCTGAAGCAGTCAGCGTACATTAAAGGCGGGCTCGTCCAATGACTTTCACTTCAAACTGACTTGGTTTTTCCTTTATACTAATGATGGTTTCTCATTTTCCCAGAGTCCTTCAGAGAAAGGACATGCCCAAAGCACTCAGTTTCAACACACACATGTAAGTGGCAGGGTTGGACTGACAGGCCCCCTGAAGCAGCTGACACTGAGTTCCCACTTCATCCTGCTCATTTCTGCCCTACTCACTTCCTGGAACCCGAGGCCTGTCTTTCCACTCCAGAATCCCTGCACATAACCTTAGATCTGTGTATCTCTCTTCTAGCTGAGCTCAGCCCTGTCTCTGAACCTGCTCAACCCAATTCTTGATGGCTGAGGCACCTAGAGATTCAGCAGCCCTAACACCCAGGCCCGCCCAAAGTCCCCAGTGCTCCCTTCTTTGCCAAGCCCTTTCTTCTTCTGGGAGGAGACCAGGTTCATTCTGTTCAGCTGTGTTTGTTTGCCAACAGACTTCAATTCCTGACTCGGAAAGCATTCTGGATCAGAACTGTTTGTCTCGCTGCAGCACAGAGATTTTCTCTGAAGCCAGCTGGGAGCAGGTGGATAAACAGGACACGGAGGTACAGGCTCAGCCCCTGTTCTGAGTGCCACCCATGCAACTGTTCTGCAGTTCTTCTCTACCCCCATCATCCATTCCCCCTGCCCCTGGCTAAGGAATGACCACACAGCACACTTAGCCTTGAGCCTCTCTGAATCTCAGCATCTATGAATTCCCATCAAGCCTAGAATTTCTCAGCAAGGGAGATGTAGCAGGCCAGCCCTCTCTCCTCATTGCCTCTATGAACTGGAGCCTTGCCAGCTCTCATAGCGACCCAGGGTGCTATTGCCTGCCACTTGATCTCAAGGGAGTTTGGAGTCCCCTCCAGGGAAACGATTTGGACGCCTTTCTTGTACTGCTGACATCAGACCTGATGGGCTGGTGCCACTGGAGCCAGTGTGGTCCTTGTGACTCTTGCTGCCCCCCAGCATGGCTCTGTTGGCTCCGGCTGGATGGCCCATCTCCTGTCACTAATCTGGCCTCATCCGTTTTACAGATGACCCGTTGGCTCCCTGACCACCTGGCCGCCCACTGCTATGCATGCGACAGCGCCTTCTGGCTTGCCAGCAGGAAGCACCACTGCAGGTGCCACTGGGAGGGTGTGGTGGGGTGGGTGGGGGTGTAGAGGCTGAGGTTTGGTCCACAGAGCCTGCAGATTTGAAAGATGCAGGCAGCTGGCTGGCAGTGTTCTGAGGCAGACCCCAGGGTCTTCAGGACCCTGACTCACCTTTTGTGCCTCTGAAATTGGTGTTTGCAGAACTGCACTGGGTGTCTTTCTTCCATTTTAGAGTGATCGTGAGTAAGTTTTGAAAATGATGTCCCTTTTTTATTTTGGTTCCTGGATTGATGAAGCAACTGCTACCACCACCCACACCGCCATTTCTTATTCCTAGAATACAATTTCTTCCCATTCAGCACGGCTGCTGTGAGCAAAGACAGTTTTCCTGCTGTGGGCAGAGAACTTCGTTTTCCTACTCCTTACCCCCTCTCCCTGACCGCATACTTATTGGTTGGAGGACTAGTGGGAATAGGTTAGGGTATAGTCTTCAATCCATAAGGCTCCTGACTTCTTTCTTCCTTCTGGGTTGGAGCAGTGAGTGGTTAGGGATGCTTTGCCCCAGCTGGGGTGGTGACTGGAGGATATTCAGTGTTCTTGGGGTAGGAATTTTATCTGAACTGTGACATAGCCCACCCACATGAATGGACCTGGATTGAAAATGGAACCACCTCTTTGTCTGGTGATGATGCTTCTAGGACTGTCTCTCTCCCCACGCTCACCCCAAGCCCAAATGTCTTTAGTTGGCTTCTTCTCTGAGCTCTTTCTCCCCTCCTTGCAGGGACATTGACCGTGTTGATCAAACGTGGTGAGCATTTGCAACAACCTGTCTGTGATTTCTGCACACCTACAGTAACTTCTCCACACTAACGCTACCATTTCCCCCTCTCTGCACTCATTGGGATGAAGCTTTGGGGCAGGAGTGCAGGCAGGCAAGCAGGTGGGCTTGGGTGGGGTGGGGGGACCACAGCAGCTGGCTGCAGGTTGCAGCCGTGGTTGCCCCTGCTGACTGCATAGGTCAGCCGAGCCATCTTGCTTGTGGCAAGAAGCGGTGCTTCAGCAGGCGCTGGTCTTGTGGAATAGCCAGTTGAGGGGTTTTAGAGCTATTTCTTTTGGGTCAGTCATTCACTTAGATGCCAGAATGATGCCGGTGACTTTCAAGTCAAACAGCATGACTTTTTTAAGGAAAAAAAAAAAAAAAAGAGCCCAGGACTGAACAGAGATGGTCTTTCCGGAGAACTGTTAGCATTGAAGACTTAAGGGAAAACTCCACTTAGGGTCTATCAGGATCCCCTGAAAGAAGTCAGATAGAAAAGCTTAACTCATCAAATACATGTCAGGCCTTTAAGCTGAATTCCAGAAGGTATGTTAAATGTACACATCCAGAAGTAGATTTAGGTAATGTTTCTCTGTAACCACAGTTGTTGCTGACTCATGCTTTTCAGAAACAGAGTTGTGAAGTACTCACTGCATTCTAGAAGATGAAGTCTTGTGTTTGTTTTAGTTCTGTCTTTCCATTGCTCCTTGTCTAGCCTTTTCCTTTTGCGGTGGTATTTTGTTGCCAAAGGGTATTCAGTATTCTCTCTTCTGTGCTTAAGTGATCCTTAATCCAGCAGTGGGTTTCCTTTCTGAGGAGCATAAATGAAAAGGTAGTGAGTGATAACTGGCTAAGGAGGAGGATTTCCTTTTAGATGCTTGCCCCAAGTCTTTGGCTGCATTAGACTCTTCGGAGTCTCCTATTCTAGGGCCTCCCCAGAGTGGGGTGGGGTTGTAAGGTGAGCAGAAACTCATCCTCTGCCAGTTCCCTTTCCTGGTAGTTGTGAAGGGCATCAGTTTGGGTGTGCAGACCTTTGCTGCACAGGCGCATCAGAGCTGGGCTTTCAAGTGGAGGAGTGGAGAGAGGCTGGGGACCTGGGTGCAGTCAGGCCTTCAGGTAGAGCTGATATTCCCTGGAGATGCATGGGGGCAGGGGAGTGACCCAGTGTCAACTCATCCTTGTCTAATAGGGTGTGTGTGTGCACCTGTGTTCACCTGTGCTCTTGTCTTTTCACCCTGAGCATGTGTCACTGGTTGCTTGTCTCCTGGCTTCGCATGCTGGCAGCAAAAGCAGTCCTAGATGGCAGCAGTCAGTTCTTCCTGTTGTTGCCTCTGAGCCTTTGGGCAAGGCTCCTCACTCCCCAGCTGGGCTGGGAGTTTCTGTCATCTGATTAGCTCAGAGGCAGTTCATTGGACTCTGGCCTCTCTGTGATCATAAGCTACACAGAGGCCATTGCCCAGGTGGGTGTGGCCACAGGGTTTTCCTGGGCCAAGACTTGGCCATTGAGCTAGCAGCTGCCTTCTGCCCTGGGCTCATTTGTTTTCATGGATCTCTCTTAAGCAGCATCTACCTGACACCTTGTAACCTTGAGCCATAGTGGTGAGGCAGCCAGGGTCCTTGGTCCTAAAGTGAAAGTGGTGTGCGATTATGCTAGGGAGCGGTCCCCTCCCTCCCTGGCTTCTTCGTGGGTTTAGACAAATGAGAGTGTTTGATATTAGAGGAGTCTCCGGTATATCTGAATCGTGTACAGAGAAGCGCTGTCTTCTGAAGTTGGTTTCTCCACCCCGTGTCTGCTGACACTAATGCTGTTTTTGTTTCTGCTCATCTCAAGGAATTGTGGGAACGTATTCTGCTCCAGTTGTTGTAACCAGAAGGTTCCAGTTCCCAGCCAACAGCTCTTTGAACCTAGTCGAGTGTGCAAGTCTTGTTATAGCAGCCTGCATCCCACAAGCTCCAGCATTGACCTTGAACTGGATAAGCCCATTGCTGCCACTTCAAACTGAAGCTCAGTGACCTGGGGCAGGCAGAGGCCAAGCTGCTGTTCCTCTGACAGGCCCACAACAGCCTGGGCAGACTGAGAGGCCCGTGCACTTTGGAATGGGGACATGGAACCAACTGTGCAGAGTGATGGAAATTTGGGATGTACCACTGGATTGTAGATTGATCTCTCCCTCCCCAACCCACCCCCACATTTGTTTTCCTCTCCATTTTCTATCCTCCCTCTGCCTCCAAAAATGAGACAAGTACCCTATTTGTCTTT